GCATGGCATAGTCTAGTGCTGGCGCAGTGTTGGGGCATGGCTTGGGGTAGTGTTGGGGATACATTCTTTATCGTTTTGGAAGCTGTTAAGAAAAAAATGTTACGCACGGCGTACTGTGTTGGAGAAGTGTTTGCGAAAAATTAAGACTGTTCATTTTTTTTATCTTTACACATTGTTTGAATACATTTATTTTCTTACTTTACAAATTACTGTTTTGATGTGTTTAGTATATGTTCTTCTTGTTTTATCATCTTCATTTTGTGTTTAAATGCTAAAAACAAATTTAGGCATAATTTTTTTGGGGCCGGGAACCAATTAATTGGTTTTCCATTATTTCTTATGGGGAAAATTCGATCAGAACTCGAACTTTTTAGGATTTGAATCCGAATTCTGAGGTATCACTGTATTATTATTTTCTTCTATATTCAATAATAAAAACGAAAGCCTAATATACTTAACAAACAACTGTAATAACTGCCTCCAACAATTTTGATATTATACCTGAATTTGAATATTTTCTTTTTAGCATTCACATTATCAGCTTTTCCCACTATGTTTCTAATGATTTGTGGGTCAGTAACATTTATTTTACTCAAATCAGCTTCTTGTGCAAAGTTATTTTGAATTTGATGCCTTGGATGCCATACATATAACAAGGACCAAGGTGGACATGCTCACTCCTTTACAATCATCCTGTCACTCCCAAGAGCACATGCATTCGGAATGCAATGTCTCCAGAGACTCTGCAGGAAGTCCATCAAAACTGCACGACACACAACAATGCATATAATGGAACTACACTACTCTACACCACACATGAAGACAGGGAATATGCCTCCATCACCCTCTGGTTCTTAGGAACGCAGCACTTTGCTGTAGCTTTACTTCAGTGCTGAGGCTCACACTTCTGTAAAAGTTAGACTACTTCACTACAGCTTTGACAGAAACCTGGTTCTTTGTCGACTATAATTATTGTGTCGCATATCCAAATGAAACAGTGTCACTGTAACTAATCAATCGGAACAGAATAAGCTTACTTTTCAAAGATTATTTCATCTTCAAAACACCCAATTTCCTTTTATTTTCAAGTATTGTCTTACACTGAAAGGGCAATAAGGCCTGGAAACAGATAACATTATAAGAGAAATACTGATAACTGTGCACATACTTCCACTGTGACACTACTACGCTGAGAATTTTCCAGCCACATAAAATCATCTTCAATTAAACTTAAATTAAACTGTATTTAAGTACCCTTTAGTTGGTCATCGATGGTTATGGTTGATATGCAATAGTTAAAATGGTCACCATGCAATACTAACCTTTACAGTCATTTTAGCAAGGAGTTCCTGAAGATCCATGATGCCTTGTACCAGGCCCAGAAAATCACTACATGATGGACAGGCTCAATATGGAAAAGGGAAACAGAGATACACACATCAAGCTAAAAAACCAAAAGCCCAGACAAATGATTTTGTAAAACAAAGTTTCATAATCGTTAAGACAGAGTGATTTATTATTTTATGATTTTTGTTACAAAGTGAAAGTAACCAATATGGAGTTTGTCTGCCACATACTGATGGATCATCTGACTCCAATTGCATTCTTTTCAAGAGGCCATTATCCTTGTGATAAATGTACATTTCGCATTAAATACCTTAATTGTTCAAATCAAGTATCCAAATTTATAGATTTAGAGATGTGTTTGTTGTGTGTGTAAAATATTGTGTGCATTTCTTAAACAGGACTATTTATTATTAAGAGGTCAAAGAATCAGATCACATTTCAGGAGCCATTCATGCAGAAATCCAAATAATTTTAAAGGGTTAAACCTTTCCACAGCCATATATTTTGAGAATAAAATCTATTGCTAGATTTAAATATGACCTTTTGCTTTGTCAATGGAACTGCTTTTTTCCCTGCTATTTATTTCGTTTGCATGATTTCTCTTACAGTCATTTTAACAGATTAACCATAAATCTTCAGGTTTTATTTTTTAAAGAAAATTGTTGATTGAAATGTAATAGTTTCAGGAAATTAATACTGTAGAAAGGATGTGAAAACTTTTTCAGGGCAACTACTGGCAACTCCCAAGGAAACTTGTCAAGCCAATGTAGTACTTACTGCGATTAAGGTTTGGACACTGCGCAATGTAACCATTCGGAGCAAAAATAAACTTGACATCTTGAATGATTCCCTGGGGAAAATATAAAAGAAAAATATGTTGGAGGTAGAAACAGAGAGGGGGGGTTCACTAAAAGTTACAGCACATACTGAGACTATACTCAGAGGCCACTTTATTTGGTTCACCTGCTTATTAACATTATTATAGCCTGCTCCTCCAAACAACTAATCATGTGGCTGCAACTTCAACAGACTTTCATTGGACATATACAGTACAAGGACAATAAACAAATTCTATACATACAGCATACAGACAGGGGCATGAAGCTCAGTTACTCTGCAGCTAAGCATTTGGGAAGACTAAGACATGTGGTCCAAGTCATTTTTAAATGTGACATGACTGTTAGAACAAGACATAGTACTGTAGTTCCAGCATCTTAGACACAGCCACCCTCCATGAGATATTCATGTAATGCAGTATCTGGAGTTTACAGGGAATGGTGTGATAAGCAAAATACTTCCAGTCAGCTACAGTTTCAGTTAATTACTCTAAAGGAAACTCCAGGAAGAGAGGATGCAGAAAAAAAGAAACATACTGGAGATCCAGAGACCAGTCAAATGGGGCAATTCATTTATTTCCAGTAATCTACATTTCATCTTTGCATTTTTTTAAAGTTTAGCACTTCCATAGGTGTATTTGTGATGCAAAATTATCCATATATTATTGAGAGAAATATAAAGCTATTTTTATCTCTTTTATGGCCTTGCAGGGTGATTTATTTCCTTTAAAAATGCTGCTAGCTGCACATTGTTTCTTAAATGTTCCATGGTGTTCATCTATTGAGCACGAGTTAGTATAGGTTTATTTCACCTAATTTATGGCAGGGGAATATTTTCTGTGACCTTATGTGTATTTAAGAAGCATAAAAACAACAAAACCCTTAAATTTGTCTGACTCAAGTTCCTAACAAAGTTCAAAAATCATACGTTAACAGTCCAAAAACTCACTGGGTAATCACCTGATGATCTTACAACCAACCAGATAAACCTGTCCTGGTTAATGGGACATGGTGCAGGTATCTCTGAGATGTTAAACTTTGTCAGTGCTGGAGTCAGCCGTGAGCAACCACCTTGTTATTGCAACCATTAAGCTGAAACTACGTAACACACAGCAGAAGAATCAACTCAGGAAAAATCTAGACATTGAGATATCATAAGATCAATAGAGAGTTTGCAGTAGAAGTGAGGAATCAGTCTGGTGCACTACTGTAACTGAATCCACTGCAGGCCCTGATATTAACACCAAATGCGAGTCTATAAAGAACATCCGTGTAGAAACAGCTGCAAGCATCTTATGCTACAGAAAGAAAAGGAATAAGGAATGGTTAACACCTGGAACGTGGGAGAAAACTGAAGAAAGAAACAACTGAAAGCCAGGCTGTTGAGCATCAAATCCTAAAGGCTCCAACAAAAGATACAACTAGCCTATAGGGACAAAAAAAGAGGTAAAAAGCTGCGCTAGAAGAAATTAGAGGACTTCTGTCAATGAAATGGCATGTGAAGCCAAACTACCAGGGGAAACATGAACATGGTGCTAAGAACAGCTGCCTATCTGTTCTGATGAAAGACAAAAATGGCCACAAGCTCACAACAGAGCATGAGCAGGCAGTATGCTGAGTACATTTCTGCGAGGTACTTAACCAACCAGAAAAAGAGGACCCTGCCCTTCCACCACCTGCAGACACTGTCCTGAACATTGTCCCCCCACAGAGGTCAAAATAAATCATGCAATCAGAGCATACAGAGGTCTGGTGCCGTCCACACCTCAGTGGGTCAGAGCAGTTTTGAGTTCTTATGCAGGTGATTGTAATGTTACAGCTGATTGCTGTATACTGAGATGTTAAAGGCTTATCTCATTACTTCAACCAAGGTTCCTACTGACCGTTTCCAAGACATCTGGGGAAAGGACACAAACCCTGATGATTGGACTAAAGGACTGTTTGCGAGGGTCCCAAAGAAAGGAAACCTCCAAGTCATTGACAACTGGAGAGGCATTACGCCTCTCTTAATACCATCTAAAGTCTTTTGGTGAGTTCTTCTGAAGAATTGATGCAGCTAATGATATCAAGCTGAAACAAGAACAGGTAGGGTTTGCTTGAGAAACATCATTGAGCAATGTGTGGAACATTCCATTGTACGTCAACTTCATTGCCTTCCAAAAAGCATTTAACAGCCTGCATTGCAACACCCTTTGGAAGATCTTAAGGTCACACTGAGTTCCTCCAAAAAATATCACCTTGATTGAGTTGTTTTACCAATATTTTGAATGCAGTATTATTCGCAATGGCCACTTAACAGAGTGGTTCCTGGTCGGGTCGGGTGTACGACAATGCCGGGTTATCTCCCATAATACTATATCTTCCTAGTTGTGATTGATTGGATCGTGTGCAGTACCACATCACACAAGTCCAGAGGCATCCAAAGGACCCTACTGTTCCAGTTTGAAGACCTTGACTTTGCAGATGACCTTGTTGTACTGTCCTCCAAACATGTCTATCTAAAGGAGGACACTGAAAAACTGAACAGATATAGCAAACACAATTGCCCTGAAAATCAACCCCCACGAAACCAAAGTGATGTGCTTAAACTCAACTCATGCATCAGCCATTAATGGTGAGCCTCTTGAGAATGTAGAGGAATTTGCTTATCTAGGAAGCATTGTTTAGTGCTGATAATGCAGCCAGCAAGGACATCAGGGCAAGATTAGTGAAAGCTCATAGTACTTCTGCTACACTTCAGTCCATCTGGAGGTCAAAGGAGTACACCCTACAAACCAAGAAACAACTGTATAACAGCAATGTGAATACAGTTCTGTATGGCACAGAATGCTGGGAGGTAAGAGAAAGTGACATGAGATCACTCCAAGGATCTGTGGGGTATTCTGCCCTGAAAAGATTTCAACTGATGTGCTCTGCAGCAAGACGAAATGCCAGAGTGTGGTGCTTGAGATCAAATGCCACTGTTTGAGATGCCTAGGACATGTGTTAAGAATGGACCAAGACTGTATCCCAAAAGTAGCTCTCCAATGGATTCCGATGGACTCGGAAAGAGGAAACAAGGATGCCCTAAAAAAACATGGTGAAAGACAATAACATCTGAACAAAAGGAGGTGAACATTACCTGGAGCAAGGCACAACATGTTGCCAAAGACCAGATCAGATGGAACCAAATCAAGTAAGAACCAAGTAAGAACTCTTATGTTCCAGTAGGGATGAAGAGGACCACGTCTATGTCTACCAATGTACTGTATGTGTTTAATTATATAAACAAACAATACTTCACAGAAATAATATAATAATAATATAACAATACTACAGAAGACACATTGAAAATAAAAGGTTTAAATGTCCATCAAAAAGGATTTTCATTAAAATCCAGACAATTCTTTTTCGTGTGAAGTGTGGTGGATGTGTCCGCACTGATGAGGGGAGTATATGCTTACTCAAAAGCGTGTAACATTGTAAGCACGTTTTTGACTTAAATGCTTGATGGGAGAATTGACCCGTTATTGTACATTCCACTTACATGCCATATCTTAATGTCCATGTCTTAAAATGATGTTTTTATTATTTAAATTTATATGTCTAAATATTCATATTCATTTTATTTTTCTTTTGCAATATGAATAACATTTTCAATGACATAACAGTAAGAACTGTAACAGATGCACTAACGGGGAAACATTTTTTTCATGGGGATGTTGTACTAAATTGTGTGCACAATTTAGTTTAATATTCCCACTGAACTCACAAAATGCCTAAAATGTGCACACAATTTACTTTTTCAGCGCTCCCAATTTGGTACTTTGAGCTCTCAAAGTAATTTTCAATTTAATTAAATGTAACGTTTTGGGCATTTGTCTTCTTACCTTAAACATGACTGAAAAAGTCAGAAGCTGGAGTGAAATGCACAAATACCATGCATTATATGGTAGTACATTTATTCCCTTAAGCCTTTGTAATGATGCATAATATGTCTCCCAATCCGACTTTGACTTATTCTACTAAACCGGACACCTGTCTAAACCAGTTCAACCAGTTCTATGGTGGAACTTCAGTGTTGTGGTGATCTAATTCTTAATAGTGTGCATGGTAATGACCAATATATGCATACATCTCTAAGCCCAGATCTTTATTATAATGCATAATATGTCTCCCATTCCAAACTTATCCATCAGCTTTTTTATTGGGCGAAAACTACGCTTTCTGGTCATTTAGGTAGCATTTACATATTTACATATCTGATAGATTTTTTTAATTTTTTTGCTTTACAACATGTTTCTCCAGGACAGAACACAAATAACCAAAAAGCCATATTTCATCAAACCAAAAATCAATTTGAAAGATCACAGGAAACAGCCCCCTTTCTAGTTTGAATATAAACACTATGAGTGAATTATGAATTTGGGGGTAAGTCAGTGAGACAGTGGGGGTTTCATCTGGCACCACCAAGGTGATAAAAAGTTGACTGGAGTAGCATTTGGACGGGAAGCTGGTCAACAACCTTTAGACTCACCACTGTATGATGGCACCATCCTGGTTGTGTCAGCCTCATTACAACACCTACAAACGGTACCTTGGACAGGGATTCATATGGTACAATGGGGGGCAAAGACCTTTCCTAACAAGACTATGAACTTCCTTAAATTTTTCAAAATTTTGGCATGATAGTCTTACCTTGAATAAACCATGCTTGTGACTATGCTGTCCCACCCAAACACTGCTTCCAGAAGTCAGTTCCATCTGTGGAGGGTCTATCACACGCTCGTAAATCCTGCCAATGATAAAAAAAAAAGCAGCTGTATTGATTGCATTATTATTTTATCAGCAAAAAAAGCAGGTTTGACAGGCAGGGGGATCTACTAACTATTATATTGAGCCTCATTCTCTCAGACGAAGGATGAACAGTGGAAAAAAAAACATAATAAATAAAGGAATAATGTTCTTATGCCAATTTTCACTTTTTTCTCTGAGTGAATCTGATGGTGTTCATGTCATGTATGACTCAGACAGTGTAAGGCTCCGTAGTGCCTTACAGCCTAGATCACAGCTGCTTTTAGATGAAACACAGAGGTCATGTGTGTCATGTCAGACGAATCTACTGCTGCACATGGCATAAGCAGGTTTTTTAAAAGCTGTACCAAGGCATATAAATACAGGCTTATCAAATATTGGACAGCTTATCTTTGATGCTTAAGCGCTTGGAGAAATGAGATGCTGAGGAGACTGGTAATTCTGCAGCGTTTGTGTACGCTACGCTATGGCTGAAGCTATCAAGAGCTCATTTAAAAAATTGGCAACCAAATGAAAATGGATTTGTTGCATCATTTCTCAACGCTGCTTCATTTTTCAACAGGGTTCTGTGTAATGAAAATAGAACAGTGATTACGATAATAATAATCTACTTTGTCGCAAGAATGAATTACTAGCCTGTCTCCAGTTTAATTTCTGGTTGCGTTACAGAACTGAAGATATTGTGACCCAGTGTAAAATATGTTATTTTTCACACGTTTTTGGTCATATGCTGTCCAGGTAATTTGTTTTACAAAATTATTTTCAGGTCAGTGTACATGTTGCAAATGGGAAAAAGCAGATGCTATTTACACCCCGGGTGGATAGCCATTGTGGCCATTTACACCCCGGGTGGATAGCCATTGTGGCTATTTACACCTCGGGTGGATAGCCAGTGTGGCTATTTACACTTCGGGTGATAGCAGAGAGATGCTATTTGCACCCAGATATCAGTAGCTAAAAAAAGCTATTTACAATTTACTATTTCTTTAATGCTATTTAGTAATAGTGGAGTAATTGCTTGATTTTAGTTTTACATAGATTTCTTAGGCTGTCCGCAGGCCTAAACTCCCAGTCAGTCCCACTATAGCCCTGCTTAAAATTCACCAATGGCTTGAAATAAACATTGGAGAAATTAGTTTTTTGGTGCAGTATGTACACCATTCAGTGTTACAAAACTTCAACTTTAATTAGACATGCAAACAGTATTTGTTTAAAAAAAAAAAAAAAAAAAGGGAAGCGGATTCCACTAAGAATTCCATAGCTAACACTACTGAATGTGTGCAGTTTTTTTTATTGCACCCCCCCAAAATCTAAAACTCTTCCCCATGTGCTACACATAAGAGGGGAATTCTCCACGATTGAAAGAAGTATTTCAGACCCTGTAACTAGCGCTAACGCTAGTCAGTAAGATTACTGTGTGCCAGTGGCTAGCTAACTATTGCTAGAACAAGGGTACATTTTGTGTTTAATGTACCCTACAGTATTTATGTTTTTTTTTATTGTGGAGCCAGGGGGTGGGAGTGAGGAGGCTGGGTGTAAATAGCTGAATAGATGTTGTGTAACTATTTTCACCCAGGTGCAAATAGACACTCCAGGAGAAAAAAAAGGTAACACTTAAACTTATAATGCTCAAGAATCATGTCACATTGTAAAATACAGGTCAACATTAATGTCAAGAACAAAAGTCATTAAACAAACAGAACAAAGTACTATGAATTGATTGTTTAGTTATTAGAAATAGAATCATCACTCATCCTGTGTGGCACAAAAATAAAGATAGTAGAACAAGCAATATTATCATCTGCATACAACTTTTTTATTTAACATGGATTGTTCTCTTACAAAAACATTGAACCTCAAAAAAGTAGATGCTGCCTGAATGGAAAAGATGAGTGCTTCCTCAGTGGAAACTTCTGTACCAGCTCAGCAACCACCATTTGAAAAGGAGAAATTATGGATAGACACGGTAAAAAGACATCAGTGGTGTAGCAGTATTTTGGTCATTTAAACAATAATGGAGATTATTGCATTGCATTGGACGATTGCATTGGACGATCAGCCATTTTCCATAATGGAAGACAAGGGAATTTGTTGGCTGATTCACAACTTAAAAGATGTCATAAAGCACTAGCCCACAACATGCTTATAATTCATTATTAAATCTGGCCCGCAGATGGATCTTTCATCTTCCATGGAATAAAGAACAATGTATGGTAATTTTGCTAATCTACACTGGTGCGCTTGGCAAGTTTCATTTCCAGCAACCTTAAGTGTTAATATATGCCTACCTGTAAAGGGTAAACAACAAAATATGTATCTTAAAGCCCCTGCCCACAAAGATTTGACCCACCATCACCCTTGAAATATTTTTCAAATCGACCACTAAGGATAACAAGCAGGTTGTGTAAACTGCCGGCCTATATACTCCTAGTCGCTGCTAGACTTCACAGTCTGCTACTTGAATAGATGGACCCTGCTACAACAGGACTTAGTGTTAGAAATACATATTTTTATGGTTATGCTCTGTGGCAGGGATACTCAATTGCCATAATGGATTGTTAATCACCACCACCCCCCACACCCGGTCAACGAAATCTAAAACTAAAAATTAAACTAATTTATGCAGCAAAGTAAAAATACAAACTGAAATAAAAACAGAAAAGGAAATAATTGAACTAAAATTAACTTGGTTGTAAGATGCCAGTTTTTGCCCACATTTAAGGGATTTACTTGGGTCAACTAAATTGTGCACAAGATTTAGTACATTATCTGCACAAAGTAATAATAATAAAACGTCTCAGCTCCATAGGTATAACTAAGTAAATATAACCTAATGTCATACAGACACATAAAAACCCATTGTGACCAAGATCAAAAGCTAGTGCTACTTAAAAATCACTCAGGTACATTATTACAGTACATGTGAATACAGTAGATCGTCACGCATAATATAGTCTTATAAGCAATACTATACCGTTTTCATCAAGAAATACCTCTATCCAGCGAATTAAGNAAGGGATTTACTTGGGTCAACTAAATTGTGCACAAGATTTAGTACATTATCTGCACAAAGTAATAATAATAAAACGTCTCAGCTCCATAGGTATATTTTGTATTTTGTGTTTCAGCGGCAGGCTATTTGCATAACCAATCGACAGCAAAAACGTTTGCAAGTCCCACCCCGAAGTACCAAAGAAGTACCCCAACTGGTTTGGAACTTTCGGTACTCAAGAATTCGGTACTGGTACTCGACCGGAAGTCAATGGAAAAGCAAAAGTACCGAAAGTACCGTACCGAAAGTACCATACTTTGTGCGGTGGAAAAGCGCCCTTATATTGTGCATACACAAGCTACAATTATCTGAAAAAAAAAACTGTTTCATAGACACAATGGGGTCTAACATGAAATCTGTATAATGTACCAGATACCAAACACTAACAAAAAAAACTTCTTATATTAGCAAGTCTTTATTAAATCATACAGTCCAAAAATAAAAAAAACAAATTGTGTCCCATATTGGTCCAAAATAGGGCATTTGATTTTTCAATGCGGGGCAACAGCATGATATACGAGACGGGTGCAAACTCTAAACGTCACTTTAAGACTTAATTGCAGAACTGCATTGACATGTTCCTTTACAATAATAAAACTGAATGTTCTTAATTACAGTATATACACGAGATTAGCTACAGTACAATCAACCAAAACAGTATTTACAAATCAGTGTATTTTTAACTCTATGCTCATTGACTTTGAGTATACCAATTCCTTGCCCTCAAACTAACAAGGAATATTAGTGAACAAATGAGTTTATCTTGCCTAATTGCAGAACTAGTATTCTGGATGATTAAACTTGGTTAATCTCTCTCCTTTTCAGGAACACACACACACACACTTATATAGCCATGTTCAAGATGGCAGCTGCAGCTTTTTTCCCTCTACCGCCATCTGTTCCTACAGTTTCAATTTTGGGACATTTTTTCCTCAAGTCTATCATGTATAGATTTTCACCCATAAAATGTTTTTTATGGAGTGGTAATGAAATCCAGATTAAACAGAGAAAATAGAGCAATTATAATAAACAGAATTAGAATTAGAATTTAGTGATCAGTGGTCATTGTCAACACACCACAGCACACAGTGTGCAACAACGAAATGTGACCTCTGCATTTGACCCATATGTGACTTTCGTGACATAGCAGGGGGCAGCTAATTCAGCGCCCGGGGAGCAGTGCTTGGGGACGGTACCTTGCTCAGGGTACCTCAGTGGTGACTTGCTGGTGGGGGATTCGAACCTGCAATCTTTCAATTACAAGTGCGCTACCCTAACCATCAAGCCACCACTACCACATGTACTGTTCACATGGTCAAGTGTCTTATCTAAGTCAACCTTCCCTTTGCCATTACTAAGCACTATTGTTTCAGTTTTGGTGCAGTTCATATCACAATTTGAACAAGTCTTCAGATCTTCACCCATACAATGGATCTGAGAAGTTTGGAAAACATCTGGCAAATAACGTATATGTTATCATACTAACAAGATCAAATGTCTGAGACTGCCATTTCCCTCAACATAAGCACTGGTTCAGTTTTTGGGTCTCAAAATATTATTTCCAGTTTGTCACCCATAAAATGTCTCTGCAAAGTCTGAAAAAGATCCATACAATACTTTTAGAGTTACTGTGTTCACAAGACCATGTATCTTCTACAGCTACCACATAGCACTGCTGCTTCATGTTTTGGGAAATTTCAGTCAAAATGTAGGGGCCATAGGGGTCGGGTGTGATGTGAGCCGGGCAGTGGCTAAAGGCGGGGACATTGGCGGTCCGATCCTCGGCTGCAGAAGCTAGCTCTTGGGACATGGAATGTCACCTCTCTGATGGGGAAGGAGCCTGAGCTGGTGTGCGAGGTTGTGAAGTTCCAGCTAGATATAGTCGGGCTCACCTCGACTCATGACTTGGGCTCTGGAACCAGTCTCCT